TCCTGCTGACCTCCTAGGAAGGCCCAGTGAAATCACGCCAAATATTGGTGAGATAACTTCCCTTCAGAAACTTCACTAGATCAGTTGCTGACATTTTTAGGAAGCTGAAGGAATAGAGAGAGCGAGTCATCCAGTCAAGACGATTTGCTCCATTTTACAAATGAGAAAGCTGAATCCCAGAGAGGGGAGGGAAGAGAAGGAAGAGAAAGGAACGAGTTTTTAACAGTGTCAGGCCCTGTGCCTTTTCATCCTCATACAAGCCCATGGGAGGTGGGAGTTATTATCGCTATTTTACACATGCAGAAACTAACATTTTGAGAGGTTCAGGAGCTCATCCAAAAGTCACCCAGTCTGCAAGTGGCAGAGCTAGGCTCAAATACAGTAGCAAAGCTCTCAGCCTGCTGACTCAGCAGCTACGCTGCAGGTCAGAGGGAGATCTGGGAAACTCTTGCCTTCCAATCCTCTCTGCTGGAACTTCTAGGCCAATGGTTCTTAAACTTGAACATGCATCAGAATCACCTGGAGGGCCTGTTAAAACACATATTGCTGAGCCCTACCCCCAGAGTTTCTGATTCAGTTGGTGTAGGGTGGGGCCGGGAATTTGCATTTCTAATAAGTTCCCAGGTGATGATGATGATGATGTTGATGATGATGATGATGATGCTGGTCCAGGGACCACACTTTGAGAATAGTTTTAAGGTGAACCAATAATTCTCTTTTTAAAATTACTCCCTCTCCTCTCTCTCCTCATTTAAAAAGTAAAACATTGTAAAACACAATGTATAAAATGTGGAGCATACAGAAAAATTGGGAGTAGAGACTAGAATTCACCTGCATTCCTCCATTCAGAGATAACCACTCTTAGCAGTCTGGCATATGTCCTCTTTTTTCGATTCCTGTGCAGATAGGAAGCAGGGTGGCATATTGGTGTGGAGCATCCTTTCGGCCCCTCGGTGAAGATCTCATTAAGATCTCAGCTCTTCTGTGAGAGCCTGGGCAAGCCTGAGGCATGCCTAGGTCCCCTGCTCTGCACAATTGCATTTACACTCCTCATCCCGCATTGGATTATTGGGAGGATTAAGGGAGATTGTGTATTTATCAAGCACTGGACGACTGTTGTCTGCTGTGGAGTCAGCGCTCAGTAAATGCTTGACTGTTATTTTTAACCAAGGGAGAGCTTCGAGTATGCTAATTGTGCTTCAGCCCCGCACCCCTTCCTACCTGCCTCTTTTCTCTGTCTGGACCCTGAAGACCCTCTGGGCCCTCCCTGTGGGAGGGCAGCCAGTGGAGTGGCAGACGCTTAGGAGTGTCCTGCGCCCCGCGGGTCGCCACCGCCGTTAGGGTTGTCTCAGCCTCTGCCCAGTCCGCCTGTTTTACAGCAGGGCTTAATGAGGGCTTTTAACTTTTCATTCACCACCAGCTAACTCCGACTTTTAATAACACACCTTGTGCACGACAAAAATTTGCTCCTGGCAATCATGGTTTCGACCACAAAACCACAGCGGGGAGGCGTTCCTGGTTAACTCTTTCAGTGCTCCAGGCAGTCTGGAGCCGGGCACTCCTGGAAATCAGATGGAGTCGTGGCCGGAGGCCCGCAGTTGCTGTCCCTCTCCCACCCTCAGTCGCGACGCTCCAAGACTTTGGAGAAGATTCCAGACAATGCATGGGGGCCCAGACTGAGAACCAAGTGAGGCTGTAGAGGGGAATCCTGGTGGGCCTCACTCTCTTCCCTCTCTTTCTCCTCCATTCGATAGACCTACTATGCGCTGATCACTTCAATCTCAGTAACCCTCATTTCCTTGAGCGGCGGGATGAAATAGTGCAGGTGCACTCCGCAGAACTCTGAAGGGACTGGGAGGGCCCCAAGGCAGCCTGGCTGAGACCCCGGCTAAGGCTACCAGGCCTGTTGCCCCTCCAGGAGCCCCGACAGGCAAGGTATTCCTGTGAAAGGAAGGTGCCCCCGCCGCCCCAGGGTCCCTTACTACCTGCTCTATCCCCCAGGCTGCTGAAGGCCACCGGCTGGCAGCCGAGGTTTGCGGAGGCCTGGATGCTGGTGGATGCTTCCCAGCAGTCTCAGCCCAACCACATGAAAGGCCCCTGTCTCCACCCGCCAGCTGCCTGGAGCTGGGTTCTAACAATGCTGCCTTGGCCTCCACTCTCCTCAGGACCTGGCCTTCAGAGTATGCCTTCCAACCAGAGGCCTAGTCATCAGGATCACATTTACGGAGCTCCTACTGTGGATCGAGTGGTCCACATATGGGCACTCACTATTTCCCTACCAGGTATAGTATTTATAGTCCCTATTGGACAGGGGAGGAAGCCGAGGGTCAGGGAGGAGAAACAAATGCACCAAGATCCTGCAGTTGGTAAGCGGCAGAATATACAATCATATGCGAGTCCTGCTTTCTATGGAGGCTCAAGATGAACCCTAGACCAGACCTCTTCACTTGGCACTTTTAAGGGGAACGAGGCAGCAAGAATGTGGCCGCAGCAGAAGTAGCAGCTCAAAATTTGCAAGCCAAGCACTTGATGCCCTGACCCCTCCTCCCCACACCCCCCATCCGTAAGAGCAGCTGAGCCCCCAGGCACTAAGGCTCTGTCATTGTAATCTCAATGATGGCTTCAGAGTTGGCCTGCAATTACTCGGCAGGCACCGGTCCCCTCACCCCACCTCAAAGGGAGAAGCCTCAACTGTCAGCAGACCTGACTTCAAACCCAAATCTTTAAGGAGAAAAGCAGGAAACTTTTCTGTTCAAGTAACCCAGCTTTAAGACACTTACTCCCTAAGGGGCACCAATGACCAGATTCTGTCTGCAGCATCTGCAGTTTGAAGCAGCAGATCTAAGTGAGATGGATACGCAAGGTTTTTTTTTTTTTCAAAGTGTAGAAAAACAGAAAGCAGGAGGTTGAGAAACGCTCGTTGATTGATTATTCGTATATGAAGTACCATGAGTATTATTAGCTCGTTCCTTACCAGGTTTTAAACCAATCACTTTTCTAAAGTTGTTAGATTCCCCCACCAACTCCATGAGGTGGGTACCACTATGGCCACAGTTTACAGGAGAGAAAGCAGACTCAGGTGAAGTGACTTGCCCAAGGTCACACAGCTAAGCAGTGGCAGAGCTGGGATTCGAACCCAGGTATTGGTTCCAGTGCCCCTGATCTCATTCCAGTTATCAACACATCGCCAACCCCGGGGAATTCATTCAAGAGAAACCTGATGCCCAGTAGTTGTACTATGTACATAGTTAGCTACCCCAGGAGAATCCAAGAACTAGCCGATAACACGGAACCCTGTCTGCAGGCAGGACCCACCAACTACTCTGCTCTCAGGTCTTAGGGTTTTTAAAACAACCTCTTGAGGAGTCACTAGAAAAATAGATTGGTCAGAACTTGTCTCTGCCCACTCACCTCTGAGGGTGGCAAAAAGAGGAGTCTGTTTTAGAAGCCTGGCTTCTGCCAGCTTTCTGAAGCCAGGCTAAAGCAGCCCAGAATCTCAGCCTCATTTTGCCTTCTCTGAGGTCCAGACCCCAAGTGGGTGGTGATGGTGAAGGTCAGCATCAGCCAGTGGGGATTCTGAACTCCAGATGTGGGCAGGAAGGCACCTGAATCCTGCGAGGCAATACAGATGACCTCACTGAAAACCACATCTCAGCCTCCTCAGCCTCAGAACTACCTCCGAATAAAATCAACCACATTTTACTGACTGCATCTTCAGACCTTGGCTCTGTGCTAAGCATTTTACAGCCTTTACCACACTTAACTCTCTCAAGAATCCTACAAAGCCTTCTTGTACCCATTTTCCAGATGAGCAAAATGAAGGTCAGATAAGTTGAATGACTTGTCCAAGATCACACAGCCCATGAGAAACGAGTCTGGATTTGGACCTAGGTCAAGCAGACTACAGAGGGACACATGCTTAGCCAGCACACCGTAACCTTCCCATTTGGGACTGTTCCAACCCAACAAGTCCCTTTAGAGAAATCCAATTCTCTGCCTAAGACAGCTCTTAGAACCACCTCGGAGAAGTTCCTTTTGGCAAGAAGGTAGAAAGCCTCGATGGAATCCGGGCTGTCTCTGATTTTTAAGGCCCCTTCAGAGTATGGGAAAGTGTTGCCGAAAGCCTTCGTGGTTTCAGCCCTGTGTTTCCCTACCTGGCTCGAAACTGCTCAGCCGAGAGAGAAAGAAAAAAAAAAAAAACCTATTTTCCCAGGGAAACACTCAGCTCTCGCTTGAGACGGTGCTTGCCTCTACACGCCAAAGTGAGATCGTCAGCCCATTCATTTACCCTTACAAATTGCTCTGTGAATCCTGGCGCCGGCCTCCCTGCTCTTCCCCCTTCAGGAAACCCCATCCAGCCTCCACGCTCAGAGAACGCCAGGCATCCACCGATGTTTACTCACTCAAGTTCATTCGACATCTTCCTGCTCCCAGGCTCCCAGGCTCCAACGACAGGCACGGGCACTGAGGCTCTGCTGACGGCTCTTGTCTCTAATTCTTGCCTGACACAGACATTCCCTGCCCAGGGAAGTGTTTGATTTATGTTGAAGTTTGAGTGTCGGGATTTTGCTGACAGGTAGGTTCCCGGCAGCACTGGTGCTGATTGGCTACAGGTACAGGTGCCGGCGACAGCAGGTATACCTCAACAGGTGCAGCTGTTAACTCTTGGCCTGCCGCGTTGGGGGCGGAGCCAGGGGGCCGGCTGGGTGGGACTGGCCAATTCCTTCCTTGGTGAGGGGGTGGGGGGTGGAGATGAGGGAGGAGAAAGGGAGAAAAAAATGTTGGAAAGAAGATAGAGGAAAAGTACAGGGACAAACAGATACTTGGCTAAAGGAAATCTCAGTTCCTGTTTCTAGCTAGTATTCCGGATACCCAGGACCTCCCCACTCGCACCCCACCACCCCGCCCCTGCACCCTGTTCTTTTGCCCCTTCCTCTACCCAGCATCATACTTCATAGCCAGTGGGGAGATAGGATACTTTCTCCCCGTGGGTCTCTAAGCTCCCTTTCTGTTTTTCAGATTATTATCACTTTTATTGGTGAGGAAATGGAGGCCAGAGAGGTAAAGTGACTTGCCCGAGGGCACTGGCTAGTGTCAGAACCCAGATGTGAATCTTTAGTCACCGCACTCCAAGTCTGGCTGTCCCTTTGAGCGGAAGTAAATGGTCTCAATTCAACAGACATTCGTTGAGCAACAGACATGCCCTACTCTGGCTTCTGGGGAGACAGAGGCCAAAAAGACAGGGTCACTGCTCTGGAGGAGTTTACAGTCTGGTGTGTGCGTGTGTGTTGGTGAGGGACGGGGCGGGGGGGCACGGAGTGGAGTGGGAGGCAGCCTTTTATTTGGTGTGATACAGATCTGAATGAGATGTAAGCAAACCACATACCTCTGGCCAGCACAGAAGGATGGGAAAGTTGAAGTTAGCCATCTCCAAAGCCTTAGCTAGCTGGTCATTTCACAGACCCCGATGAGTGCTCCAATCTACATTGGAAACAGGAGAAATGAGATGCCTGTTAGACTAAGTAATTGTGGAATAATTGCTATGAGCTGTCTTCTGTAAAGAACAAGGTTGGTAAACCCAGAAGATCCACAAACACGAACAAGAGAATGCTAGAGCTTTTTTTAGAGCTCCCACCAGGATTAATTTGAAATTAAATCTAAGCCAGAGATCTTGGCATCTTTTCCCCCCCTTTTCTTTCCGTTCTTCCCACCCCCACACCCCCACACCCCCACACCTCTTTCGTTTTGGCAAATTATCTCTTTGCTCTGTCTTCTGAGAACCTCATCTTGGCCCACTCCTTTCTCTCTCAGAGAAGGTGGAGTTTCCGCTGCTCCTGCCAACTCAATGGAGGTGTTCAGGGTAAAGTCAGAATCCAAAGGAGCCCCCTTAGGGTGGGATCAGGGCTATGGAGACGGAGTACTGGGTTTGAGGTTGGTTCCTCACTGTCTGAGGTTGGTTCCTCACTGGAGGCTGTGTTAGGGGCAGCAGAGAGAGCTCTGACAAATAATAGTAAATAGTAATGGTAACTGCTAAGAAAGCCACCTCCTCAGAGCAAGCCTCTCCTCTCGTGCTTATTAAAGTAGACATCCAGTCACTGCATCGCACCGCTTTGCTCTGATTCTCTGCAAAGTCCTCAGGACTTTCTGATAGTTTTCTAATTGTTTATTGTCTAGCTCCTCTTCTATCGCCTGTATCCTCTCCATAAAAAACAAAGACCTTGTCTGTCTTGTTCACTGTTGAACTTTCAATGCCTACTACACTGTCCAGCACACAGTAGGTGCTCAGGATACCACACGTGTCAGGCATGTGCTAAGACTTTCCGTGCATTGCCTCATTTAATCCTCACAGCAACCCTTTGAGATAAGCACTTTTATTATCCTTGTTTTAGAGATGAGGAAACTGAAGTAGGAAGCCTGGAGATGGTAAAGCTGGAGCTGAGGTGTGATCTGAGAGCAGAGCCTGGGCGCCCAACCGCTTCATGGAGGTTATCAATGGCAGGAGGGCCATTTGGTGCCAGGTGTAACTGCAAAGCTTACTGCAGCCCAAAGGATGGCATACTTGTCTGTGTACCTGTCTGCCCGCCTCCTGGAAGGCTGCGGAGTTTCTGTCAGCCATGTTGCAACTCACAGATAAAGGGCTGTGGGGTGACTCATGTTTGCTGGGCTCAGATGGAGGCTGGGATTCAGGTGGCGTGTCTGTGCTCGCTGGGCTTTTAAAAATGGGTCCTCTCTCTCTGCCTCTGGATCTGGCCTCTTTAATCACCCGCATCCATCAGCAGAGATCAGCAGAGGCCCAGATCATAGGGCAGAGGGTTTCTATGTCTGCACGTACAGGTAGGCTCCAGAAGGTGCCCTGGCTGGGATGGAGGGACTAGTATTCTAAGATAGGACAAGGCTGGGTTGCCATTTCTTCCCTTTCTTGGATCAGCCCAGTTCTCGGTTTCTTGGCCGAGGAGATTGAAAACAGAGACCAGCCAATCACGTGTGACATAATAATTATACTCACAATAATAACAGTAAATAATGGTGGCTGCTATTTATTTTGTGTTTGTATGTTGCAAGCACTGTACTAAGCGTTGCCTGTGGAATCTGATAGTATTGCTCTGAAACTGACAAACCTGGGTTTAAATCCCAGCTCAACCACTTACTAGCTATGGGATGCTGGGCAGATGACTTAAATCTTTTCAAGCCTCAGTTTCCTCACCTGTAAAAGTGTATATAAAAATAGTATCCCCTTCATAGAGTTCCTTTGAGGATTAAATGAGATAATATACGTGAATTGCCTTGTGCAGTGCCTGACATATAGAACTGAATAATTTTTAGGGAAGGTTTTTCTCCTCATTTACTTCTCATTTTAGCCTAATGAGGAGCTGATACCTCATTTTACAGATGAAGAAACGAAGACTCAGAGGGGTTAAATGATTTGTTAAAAGTCAGAAGCTAATAAGTGGAAGAGTTGAGATTTGGACCCACATCCTTCTGCTTCCATTCCTGTAGAACTAGATAAGTTAGGGATTGTCTTGACTAGCTGTATGACTGGGTAAATCTTTTCTCTCAGCGCCTCGGTTTCCCTGTCTACAAGACCAGATTAGGGTGAGTGACATGCATATTAAATCACCTAGGTTTTCTTTCCTAGAGTATTTCTGGAAAAGGAATGCTCTTCCTCTAGACCTTTTGATCTGCTCCCTGGAGGGATGGCATCATCCTTTATCCCTGCCTCTCCTTTCAAGAATTATGACTGCCCACGAGCCACTGTTCCACTCTTGGCTTGTTGGGGAGGAGGAAAGGTTAGGACCATTTTGCTAAGCGCTAAGAGCCAGGGCTGCTCTATATGTCTGTGGAGGTCGCGCACTGCATGATCACAGTGCCATCCATAGCACAGGACTTCTACCTTCGGCCATGATGGCCCTGCCAACAGCGCTTCCTTTTCTAACACTTGAAAACTTCATGGTTATCTAAAATGTAATGAGAGGATAAATTCCTAAATGTCAACAGTGCTTCGCTGTGGGTGCTGAAATGACAGGATTTAAATTGTTTCCTCCGTCCTCCACCCCACCCCGCCAAGTTTTCTGCATTAATCTCGCATTGTTTTTGTAATTAGAAAGTCTATACAAAACCCCAATTTAAATGTCCATCGACTAAATGGTCCTTGTGCCCCTATTTTTCTTGGAACAAAGGTGCAGATAAAGACATAAAGATCCTGAGCCTTGGCTCAGAGCTTTCCTGTGAAATATGTGAATGGAGAACAGGAATGACCCAACCTGCAGGCCCTAAGCAGTGCGTTTAGGAGCCAGATCTGATCTTGACTTAATTAAATTATTTATTGAGCACTTACTCTATGATACTTTCTTTAGATGCTTGATCTCATTCCTCCCTGTAAAACAGAGTCGCATCATCCACCCAGACGGACTTGTCTCCTGGAGTATTGGCCAAGTTACTTGAGGATCTAAGCTCTGGAGTTAACTGCCTAAGACCTTGGACAAGCAACTTTGCTTCCTTGTTACCCAAGTTTCCTCCTTAGTGGAATTATTATTATGAGGGTTAATGGAGGTAACACAGTGTCCTCAGTATGTGCCAGGCACAAGTCTAGGGGCTTTATATACACATCATGGCATTCTCTTGAGTCTTATGAAGTAGTTGTAATAATTATCTCCATTTTGCAGAAGAGGAACAGGCTCAGAGGTGAGGTAACTCAGCTAAGGTCACCTGGCTATTTACTTAGTGACAGAGATAGAATCGAACCAAGGTCTGCCTTATCGCAAAGCCATGGGAAAAGCCCTTTAGGTCTCCTGAATTCCTTTTTGGACCAAAGCCTAGGATGGATCGGTGGGTGGAAGGAAAGAGGGAAAAAGAAGAAAAGTGGCCAGGATTTGTAAGGTAGGAAGGATTTGTAAGCTTCTGGACTGTAGAAACTGTACAAGCAAAAACAAATCTCACTTGGCACCCATCCCAGGTCTCAGCATAATAAGTGTTCAATAAATGTATGTTGAATAAATGAAAAATGGATGAATGCTTATAATTTACACAAGATAATTGACATTCTAGGCAAATTAGTTATCGCCTTCCACCCCCACCCCCCAGGGAAAACCTCCAAAGTTTGAGTCCCTGCTCTCTTCTTATTAGTGTATACCTTTGACTCAGAGACTCATTCTGGAAGTTTCATTGTGTTTCCCCATCATCCCTCAGCGGGTTGACCTGAGGATTAAATAAGATCTCAATGGAAAGCCCATGGCAGGTAGTAGGAACCCAGTAAAAGCTGTTGTTATAGGTAAGCACGTGGCTTAGGGGTCCTCAGCCAGCCATCATCTATTTCCAGCTTCAATACACAGACAGCTTAGTTCACAGCACTCAGCACTCAGTCTCCCTTAAAAACAGCCCCTTTTATGTATAAAGCTCTTTTCAGTTTACAAAGTGTTTCCCTATGCTTTATCTTTTCCGATGAAGTCATGGAGATGGGGGTGGGGGAGGAGGGAATGTATTAAAATGTATCGTTGGCTTCATTTAATAGATAAATCGAGGTTCAGAGAAAGCACCCCTACTTAAGCAAAGGAATTTGGATTGGAACCTCAGATTTTGGATAAAGCATCACCCTAGATACCACTATGGATCCTAATGGGTCCCAGAAGACCGTCCTGGGTGTGCGCCGAAAGCTCTACATATGTCATC